GGACTAACTAGGGAGATTCTTTCTTTATTTGACAGTTTTACATTGTTGTTATGGAGTAACTAGGGAGATTCTTTCTTTATTTGACAGTTTTACATTGTTGTCATGGAGTAACTAAGAAGATTCTTTCTTTATTTGACAGTTTTACATTGTTGTTATGGACTAACTAGGGAGATTCTTTCTTTATTTCAAAGTGTTACATTATTGTTATGGACTAACTAGGGAGATATTGTCATTATTTGACAGTTTTATATTGTTGTTATGGAGTAACTAGGGAGATATTGTCATTATTTGACAGTTTTACATTGTTGTTATGGACTAACTAGGGAGATTCTTTCTTTATTTCAAAGTTTTACATTATTGTTATGGACTAACTAGGGAGATATTGTCATTATTTGACAGTTTTACATTGTTGTTATGGACTAACTAGGGAGATTCTTTCTTCATTTCAAAGTTTTACATTATTGTTATGGACTAACTAGGGAGATATTGTCATTATTTGACAGTTTTACATTGTTGTTATGGAGTAACTAGAGATTCTTTCATTATTTGACAGTTTTAAGTAATTATAGGGAGATTTTTTCATATGATAAATTTTACATTGGTTGTTATGGAGTAACTAAGGAGATTCTTTCTTCCATTTAGAACGCTCCAGAATAATTTAAAACCATTTAAGACAAGAATTCAGTACTCACAAAATATTTTATTTGATAATAGGCAACTTAATTACACCTAGGCATTTTACGCCTATTATTTTCAGAGTACCAAACAAAACGCATCAGAAATTGGAAACGTTTCTTTATTGCAAAATATTTTTAATAATCATATTATTTTAATTTAACCTTTCGTTTCTAAATAAATTTCTTCTTATCTTATCACCATCCTCCTCGTAATCATCATCATCTTCCTCATCCTCGTAAGTATAACAACTGGATTGAGCTTAATCATAATCATTATCATCATCACAGTTATCATCATCGTACCCACCGGCTTGAACTTGTCTACCGAATTTACGATTCAGAGCTAAAAAAAAAATAAAAACAAATACAAAAAGTGCCCCCCGAATTCAATTCAATTACAAGACACTTCAAATCTTTTAATTTGCGACGTCTCAAATTCGCATTTAGGCCAAAATTATTCCTTTATTCTTCACCTATTTGAATACTTTTCTTCCAAATATCAACCTAAATTATTCCACGATTGACCTACAAATTGTATTACAAGTGTGAGTATAATCATTACGAGTAATTGTATTTGTACTTACAATTGTAATTCTAGTCCTCGAGTAACTTCCACGAAGGTCTGAATGTTTGAAATTGATCTTTATTGTAGAGAAATTTGTTGTAAAACGAGCACCGAAATTTCATTCTTTTCGGAATATCTCCACAATTAGCCTCCTTTAGGGGTCACTAGGACGTTTCGTAGAAGTTGAAAATTGCCCTCCGGAAGAATCAAAAAATGATTTTCTTCCTCGAGTAACTTCCACGAAGTTCTGAATGTTCGAAATTGATCTTCATTGTAGAGAAATTTGTTGTAAAACGAGCACTGAAATTTCATTCTTTTTGGAATATCTCCATAAATAGCCTCCTTTAGGGGTCACTAGGACGTTTCGTAGAAGTTGAAAATTGCCCTCCGGATGAATCAAAAGATGATTTTCTTCCTCGAATAACTTCCACGAAGGTCTGAATGTTTGAAATTGATCTTTATTGTAGAGAAATTTGTTGTAAAACGAGCACCGAAATGGCCCTCTAGATAATTCGAAAGATGATTTATAGTCGAGTAATTGATTAAAAAGTACTTTTACAATCATCTCATATTCCTTCGGTGGAGACATCGGGGTGTTTGATAACGTAATTAGCGGTTTTCAAAATGCATTTTTGTTGATTTTGTTGCATTAGTTGCATGTTTGGAAGTCTCCGGATCGTTTGGTAGAAGTAACAGAAGGATTTTCTGTTTCCTTTAAATTAGGATGAAATTAAATTTTTTTTTTTTTTTGATAATTTAAATAATTTTCGCTGTGATTTACCTGTGACAAGTGATACCTGTCGTATTTTATAGATACGTTGCAAGAATGCTCGGCCAATTCGATGTTACTTTATGGAAGTTTTGATTACTTTCTTTCAAATTTTCGACGCTTTTCGGCCTTTTTCCGTTGTCTCGTTTTCTTTTCCGGCATTTTCAGAAGTTATTCTTCGCTAAATTTCCTATTTACTCTTCGATTATTACGAACCTAACCTCAAACGTCACTCGTCTGCTGTCATTACTGTCACATTCAGTGTTGCACCATCAAAACTTCTTGCGTAATAGAATTTGCCATAAAAGTGTACTAGAATTGAACTATTGGAAATTCTCGGAAAAAGAAAAGAAAAATTATTAAAAAAAAGTAAAAAAAAGTGCTTCTGTACTTCTCTGTACGTACAGAAAAGTGTTTCAAGATAGTTGTTTGACAGATTTTTAGAACTTGAAAATTGTAATAGATTTTTGTATACTAGATCTGAAATATTGTCTTTTAGTATTTCATAATTATATACATAGGCATTCGGAAAAAGAGAAGAAGAATTGTTAAATAAAATTCAAAAAAGTACTTATGTACTTTTCCGTACGTACAGAAATAGCGTAATAGATGAATCTTCATTGTAATAGATCTATTACGATTGTAATAGCACTGGCAACACTGCTCGTATTTGTAAGAAGCTTCAGTTCGCTGTCGTAAATTATAAGGTCTAGAAACTGGAATGGTGCGTAGTTTGCTAAAACAACCGGTAGGCGTCAATGTTGTAAAGGATATTTTTTGGATTCAACATTTAGATTGCTAGAGATTGTCACAATTTGGATGTTTACAGAGCTTATATTGAAGTAAACTATTATAAACATCTTCATTCAACTAGATAACGCCAATAACACAAGTCGAGTTTCCAGACCTTGTAGTATACGATCGTGCTTTTGTTTATTGGCCAATTCTTTGCACCGTTTTCGTTTTAGTGATTTTTTTTAACATATAAACAGATAATAGTACTAAATAGTACCTATTTTGTCTACGGTGTATGTACATACGATAATTCTCTACTCAATTTCCTCGACCTTTTACCTGTTATATCAATTGAGCCGATTGAGGGTTTGTGATTGGTCATCCTCACATAGGGTAATCCCAGATAAAGAGAGGAATATTTGGCAACGTCGCATTTTCCACAAATTCCACAGCACGGAGCTTTTTTACTTCTTTCTTCACTGGAAGTCTGAATCTGAACTCCCTGTATCTGTTCGAGTGCCTTACTAAATTAAAAAACGTAGTGAGAAATTAATTCATCGAGATTAGTTACTGTTTCAGTTGTGTTAATTGCTTCACCGGAAAAATTGCAAAGGTCTGTATAATTATTACATAAATTATAAGTTTATTTAGGTGTTAAATAGTTAAAATATCGATAAATATTGTTTTTATTAAATCATCAATATCGTAGAAATGGCTTTATAAAACACAATTGTCTTTTATATACTGAAATAAATGATTATTTTAATTCACATTAACTATAATTGGAAGACACTTCTGAACTATCCAAAGACTAAAAGAAGGAATTCAATTTTTTATAATATTTTCGTTAGTAAATTTTCTCATAGAAAAATGTCGACTCGGTAGGTAATTAAAAAAAAGAAACCAAATATCGAGTCACGTACAGTTTTGCTTATAATGCAAACTAAACAGGAAGATGTATTTTTGCTTAATAAACTATTTCTTTATTTTCAACAATAAGTTGTATCGATTATTTCGTTTATTCAAGTTGATCGTTAAATATTCGGTGAAGCACCGGCAGACATGTTGCTTTTTTTTATTAGAAAATTCTATTTTTATTTTATTTTCCCAACACAAGCTTTTTCGCCACAGCCACGTTTATGGTACGGAAAAATCATTTTGTAGCCAGTCTAGCAGGCGGTCTACCGTAATTTTTGAGGTCTACCCATACATATTTCGTCGTCCAAGTAAATTTAAATACTTTGACAGGTGTCATATTTTGCAAAATTGATGTACTTGGTTGTGAACCATGTCTCACAAAACTGCAAATATTAAATTTGTCCATTTAAACTTTTCTTTCTATTTCCAAACAGATTTCTGTATAGTAAACATCAAAAGAAAAAGTCAACCTCCATAATTCTGATTCCTCCGCAATTCTCAATAAATTGAATTACTTACTTGCTCTTCCAAACATAAATTATTATATACTCGTAATACAGGGTGTCCCAATGAAAAGTAGCCCCTTTAAATACAAAAATTAATGGGCTAATAATTTTTAAACGCCTAATCATAAAACTTGCGGTTTTGGAAGATATATTTTAATTTGCTATAACTTTTTGTTACAGTAACACAAAAATTTCGTATCGCCTGTACAGGGTGTTTCATAAAAATCTCCTCTTTTAAATTCACATTAACCAAATTTTATGAAATAGAACATTTTCTTTTGTAGAATAATACATTTTTGAAAAGTAGAAGAGTATATCATTCAAAATACCTTTATATATACGGGGTGTTCCATTTAAACAAATTTAGTAACTGTGAATTTAAAAGAGGACAGTTTTATACAACACCCTGTATTGGTAATGCATAATTTCTGTATGACTGTAACAAAACTTGTAATAAAATAAGACATTTTTGAGAAAACCGCATGTTTTTATGATTAGGCGTTTACAAATTATAAGCTCATTATAGGGACTACTTTTCATTGGGACACCCTGTACTTGTAAAATCTTTTCGTTTATTTAATGAAGATACCTAGGTATAATTAAGTTTAAATAAATACTGGTACTACTCCAATTCTCTGTAAATTGAATTACCCACATGCTATTCTATAAATAATAACAATAACATTTTTTTTATCTAGCTTAATGTTGAGTCAATTTTCAAAATCTTGCAGTTGTACTTTGTAATAAATACTTTGTATAAAAGAAAATTGGGTAGACCACTCCCGCTACACTTATTACATCTATTCTTTATATTTTATAGAACTTTTATTATGCCTGTTGAGATAAGCTTCGGAATACTTACTGGTAAGTAGGCAACTTAATTTACATTTCTTCAATTTAAATTGACTCTTCATTACAGTCAGCGACAGCAGTTATGCGGATAAGGTCAATGATTTATCAAGTCCTAAATTAAAAGAAGAAATATTAAAGGAGTTTCCATCGGCCGAAATAAGCGCAATAAAAATCGTACCAGACGATTTGCAGGAAATTAAATCGACTCTAACAGAATGGTTCGACTTGAAAATTAACGTAATATTCACAACAGGCAATCTACCAGACATGATCTTTGCTATGATCATCAGTAGCTTGAAGATTAATCCAATTGCGATGCTCTCCAGACCCTTGAGCGGTATTAGAGACAACACGATGATAGTAAATCTGCCGGGAAGCCCCGAAATGGTTTCGGAATGCTTCGGTATCATCAAGGAAGCCTTACCCCTCGCTTTGGAGCTCCTAACAGAACAAAAAAAATCTGTGGTTTCTGGTCACGGAGCCATTCTGAGCGACTCAGGAGCATCCGTTGTCCAAACCACCAGCCTTAGTAAGGTAATTTATAAAATTAACAGCTTCGACATCAGCGAAGGTACTATTACTCAATTCGAAGACTCAATTTGTCTTTATTTTCGTAGGTGAAACTGGCTCCATTAAGAAAATACCGCTACCCTATAATCGATGTTGAAGTTGCTTATGGTATTATTAATGATACTCGCTAAACGCTCGGAAAGGGGGCTGTGCCCCCTTTCAACCCCCCCTTCCTTTTGGTGGCGGCTTCGCCGCAAGACAGTTTGCTAGCCGGATCCTCGTTCGCTTCTCGAGCTCGGTGCGATTGAATTTTCGTTTGGAAATTAATCACACCCCGTATATCAATTTTTATAAAAATCAGATCTCGCTCGCTGCGCGAGCTCGACTTAATCGCTCTTGTTAACGATGGGCTCTGCCGCATAGACCCGCAGCTCGGAGGCCTACCGGCCTCCTACGCAAAGGCTGTTAAATAACTAAGGTCTCGCTCGCTGCGCGAGCTCGACTAAATCTCTCTAGTTAACGATGGGCTCTGCCGCATAGACCCGCAGCTCGGAGGTCTACCGGCCTCCTACGCAAAGGCTGTTAAATAACTAAGGTCTCGCTCGCTGCGCGAGCTCGACTAAATCTCTCTAGTTAACGATGGGCTCTGCCGCATAGACCCGCAGCTCGGAGGCCTAACGGCCTCCTACGCAAAGGCTGTTAAATAACTAAGGTCTCGCTCGCTGCGCGAGCTCGACTAAATCTCTCTAGTTAACGATGGGCTCTGCCGCATAGACCCGCAGCTCGGAGGCCTACCGGCCTCCTACGCAAAGGCTGTTAAATAACTAAGGTCTCGCTCGCTGCGCGAGCTCGACTAAATCTCTCTAGTTAACGATGGGCTCTGCCGCATAGACCCGCAGCTCGGAGGTCTACCGGCCTCCTACGCAAAGGCTGTTAAATAACTAAGGTCTCGCTCGCTGCGCGAGCTCGACTAAATCTCTCTAGTTAACGATGGGCTCTGCCGCATAGACCCGCAGCTCGGAGGCCTAACGGCCTCCTACGCAAAGGCTGTTAAATAACTAAGGTCTCGCTCGCTGCGCGAGCTCGACTAAATCTCTCTAGTTAACGATGGGCTCTGCCGCATAGACCCGCAGCTCGGAGGCCTAACGGCCTCCTACGCAAAGGCTGTTAAATAACTAAGGTCTCGCTCGCTGCGCGAGCTCGACTAAATCTCTCTAGTTAACGATGGGCTCTGCCGCATAGACCCGCAGCTCGGAGGCCTACCGGCCTCCTACGCAAAGGCTGTTAAATAACTAAGGTCTCGCTCGCTGCGCGAGCTCGACTAAATCTCTCTAGTTAACGATGGGCTCTGCCGCATAGACCCGCAGCTCGGAGGTCTACCGGCCTCCTACGCAAAGGCTGTTAAATAACTAAGGTCTCGCTCGCTGCGCGAGCTCGACTAAATCTCTCTAGTTAACGATGGGCTCTGCCGCATAGACCCGCAGCTCGGAGGCCTAACGGCCTCCTACGCAAAGGCTGTTAAATAACTAAGGTCTCGCTCGCTGCGCGAGCTCGACTAAATCTCTCTAGTTAACGATGGGCTCTGCCGCATAGACCCGCAGCTCGGAGGCCTAACGGCCTCCTACGCAAAGGCTGTTAAATAACTAAGGTCTCGCTCGCTGCGCGAGCTCGACTAAATCTCTCTAGTTAACGATGGGCTCTGCCGCATAGACCCGCAGCTCGGAGGTCTACCGGCCTCCTACGCAAAGGCTGTTAAATAACCAAGGTCTCGCTCGCTGCGCGAGCTCGACTAAATCGCTCTAGTTAACGATGGGCTCTGCCGAATAGACCCGCAGCTCGGAGGCCTCACGGCCTCCTACGCAAGGGCTGTTAGGTAACTAAGGTCTCGCTCGCTTCGCGAGCTCGACTTAATCGCTCTAGTTAACGATGGGCTCTGCCGAATAGACCCGCAGCTCGAACGCCTATCGGCGTTCTACGCAAAGACAGTTATATAGCCGGATCCTCGCTCGCTTCGCTCGCTCGGTTTATGTATAATTAACATTTCCTTAAATACAAGTCACCCTGTACTATATTTCAATTCTATTGCAAATAATTTTTCATTTAATGTTAAAAACGCTCCGTATATCAATTTTTTCGATTTCCTTAATGAAAAAACACCCTGTACATCAAATTAAATGTAAATGTATCCCGTAGTAACGGAAATGACAACTTTGACAGTTTGAAATTTGTTCATCGCCGCTGTCATAAGTGTAGTTTTTTTAAAAGTAATTCGATCGTTTCTCCGTTTTTGGTAAGTACAAATGACCAAGAAACGTACATTTTTGTGTATTATTGCATTTTCTTTTATTCTCGTCCATTAAAAACGACGAAATTGTCTAAATAACGAAAAAGTCTCTCATTTCGGTGTAGTTCCGTTTAAACCAAACGAACGGGCAACGTCCATCAAGTAATTTATTTGGAAATGTGTCAAAATTTTCACTTTTATTCACTTTCAAAATCGAATTACGGAAAAAAACGAATTTAGCTGGAGAAAAGAGGTAGATTTTCGTAATCGGCGAATTTTTTTACGTCTCCCCATCTACCTCCCAATGCCCCAGAAACTTTTTTTTAATTTCTCTCGCCAATCAGTCTATATCCCCTGTCAAGGGTTACATCTATATATATGTAGGACTCGCTTGTCAGCTCGGAAAGGGGGCTGCGCCCCCTTTCAACCCCCCTTTCTTACGGTGGCGGCTTCGCCGCAAGACAGTTTGCTAGCCGGAGCCTCGCTCGCTGCGCTCGCTCGGTCGCGATCATCCTGTACATCAAATTTTCACATTTCCTTAACGAAAAAACACCCTGTACATCAAATGTCCCGTCGACGTCTCCTTAGAAACGTCAGTGACATTTTCAGTCAATGTGAGGTTGGTTCTTCGTCGCTGTCATTAGTGTACACTTTTCGATATTAATTGAAACATTTCTCGGTTATTCGTCAATAAAATGAGCAGAAAATTGGGAGGTTAGTAAATTATTGTATATTCTATCATATTCAACCGTTGAAAGCGGCTAAGAAGGTCAAATTAAGAAAAAATCTTGCACCGCGGTAAAGTTCCGTTCAAACTAAACGAACGTAAATCGTCCATCAAATAATTTTTTCTAAAATGTGTCAAAAATTTCAACTTTAAATCGATATTGTGAACGAAAACGAATTTAGCTGGGGAAAAGAGGTCGATTTTCGTAATCAGCGAATTTTTTTACGTCCCCCCAACTACCTCTCTACGCTCAAGTAATTCAAATTTAATTTCTCTCGCCAATCGGTCTATATCCCCTGGGGTTTTATATATATAGTGATTTGTTCTGATGAAGAGGAAACCACAGAAACGGTGTCTTTGGAGAGATCGCCTAATCGAATTGTAGCAGAAGATATTCGTGCTGAAGAATCGATTCCTTCATGTTCAACTTCGATTATAGATGGTTACGCTGTTAAAAGTAGCGATGGCAAAGGAATACGTGTTGTGAAGAATGTTGCAACTGCAGGAGATAAGGTGTGTAGATACATTTACAAGATTTCTAAAGAAAGAACTCATTAGAATTGTAATAAATGAAGTTTGTAATTTTGCAGCCAATCGATGAAGTTCTGCAGTCAGGCGAAGCGATAAGAATATCGATGGGAGAACCAATTCCTGCGGGAGCAGACGCAGTGGTACTATTGGAAGATACTTCAGTTGTTGAATATTCGATTGATGGTTCTGAAGTAATTAAGGTGAAAATCAAAAGAACACCCGACTACAATGAAAACATAAGGTAAGGGAACATTTTTAAATACAATTGTGGAATATCTAATAATTATTTTAGACCAATCGGAAGCGACGTATCGAAGAATTCTTTGGTTTTAAAAAAAGGCGAACGTATCAAACGCATCTCTTTAGAAGTTTTAGCGATGTTAGGAAAAAGTAATATTTTGGTTTATAAGTAAGTTGAATTAGTCAGTTTTCTAAAAGTTCCCTCCTTTACTGTAATACATTTTTTTCTAGACGCCCTTCTATAGGAGTCATATCAATTGGCAATTATATTTGTGAACCTAAAGAAGAACTAGGCCCTGGCAAAATCAAAGATGCAAATAAATTCACCTTAATTAATTTGCTTAAAACTTTCCATTATGAAGCAAACGATTGTGGTATAGCTAAAGACAAGTAATAATTAATCCTGATGTATTTGATCCTTTTTTAATACAATAATTTTTAGTCTTGATGCAATAAAGCAAGCTCTTGAACAAAGTTTTACTCGTAACGATGTTATTATAACGAACAGTTCAATGGGAGAATTGGACATGTTGAAACGGGTTCTCGTCGAGGATTTTCAAGCTACTATACATTTTTGCAGGATAAAGATGAAACCCGGGTAAGTCAAAGTTTCGTAATTTGAAAGATTTTAATGATTAAATGATTATCATTTTGTTATAGAAAATACACGACCTTTGCGACACTTATGTATAATGAAACATTGAAAATAGTGTTTGGCCTAACGGGTTATCCATCTTCATGTGCAATAACTTGTATATTATTCGTTATTCCTGCTCTACGCTTAATGGAAAAATCTCTCTACGAACATTTTGTACCTATTTCTGTGCCACCAAATTCATTTAATATAGTAAGTAAAAATTTTGATAACAGTGAAATAGTTATATTCGAAATACGTTTTGTTTGAAATAACTAAGCTCCACTTTTTCCTAAAAACTTTATTTTTCTAATACAATCCGTTCGCTATCAGGAGATACTAATAAAACCTAAATTTGCAAATAATATGGAAAATACATCAGGCGCGAATTAATGAAAAAAATCATAAAATTCCAAAACGTTACAGCTTTTAACATTGTATAATAGTTATGTTTATTTTACTTTATTAGTTCTCTCAGTATACAGTGTATTACCTGTTACTAGGTTGTATTTATTTGTTAGTGTATAGAATATAATATTACAATAAATTTCATTTTTTAGTATTCGAGACCGTATAATAAAGATGATTGTCCAGAGTACCGACTAGTT